CAAACTGCGGGTTTCCAAAAAAAAAAAAATTTTTGAAAAAAAAAAAAAAAAAAAAGGCTAAAGGGGCCAGCTGGTGGTATGGCAATTAAAGGGCTAGATTCCACATGGTCTAGCCCATGGTTTGAGTCCCAGACCCAATGGCTTGAAAAACACACTGGGTGCATGCACACCATGCCCAAACTCCCGAGAAGAGAATAGAGGAGATAGGATTATAGCATGGCCATCCCTCCTGTGGGATGATTCCTTTCTCTCTTTCTTTTTTTAAATAAAGAATGGTTTATCTAATTTTACTTATCATTATTTTTTTTTTTAAAGAAAGATTTTTGTTATAGGGTGCATGTGCTCGCTGTAGAGACAGAAAGACAGAGACAGAAATTGGGAAATCACCCCCCCTCCAAGGGGAATGGCCACGCTGCAATCCCTTCTCTTCCATTCTCCTCTTGGAATTGTGGGCACACACACATGCACATGCACCTGGTGTGAGTTTCAAGCTGCTGGGTCCAGCACTCCAACGATGGTTGGCCATGTGGAGTCTAACACCTTAACCACTTCACCACCTGCTAGTCCCACTTATCATCATCATCATCATTACTATTTATTTGCTATAGGGCACACATGCTCACCAGAGAGAGAAAAAGAGAAAGTGAGAAAGCCTGCTGCCAGGCCTGGGACTCAAACGGTGGCTGGCCATGTGGGAGTCCGGTGCCTTAAACACCACACCACTTGTTGGCCCCTGTGATTTCTCACTTTCCTTCTTTCTTTCTATCTCTCTGCACGCTCTGGTGAGTGCATACACTCTACAACAAAAAACTAAAAGAAAAAATAGGTTAAGGTGGTAAATTTCATGTATTTTTTATTACACAAAAAAAGAAAGATCTCCTGAGACCTAACTTTCTGGGAAGTAGTCTCGCCTAGTTTTATTCTATTGTTGGTAAACCCAGCACGAGCCTCTGAGGCTGTTAGACAACACTTCCATGTGACTTGCTATGGAGCCTGATCATTCCCATCTTTTTTCCTATTCCCTCATCTCTCAACTCAGACATAGGAATGTAACAGGTCCCCTTTCAATATTTAGTCTGACAGATTTGCCCTCCTAGCAACACTTAACACCAAAAACTATTTTGCTTCTTTTGATTAGACAAGAAAAGAGAGCCACAAAATCCACATTCTTTCCTCTTTTGACATGGTTGCTAGGAAGCTCAGAGTTAAGTAAGACTTCATTCACTCCATAAACATTGAATCTGGCTATATGCTAGGCACTGCAGAGTCCAAGATGAACCATTCACAGATCCTATTCTTTTTTTTTTTTTTTTTTAAAGAGCTTTTTGCTATAGGGTGCGTGCACTCGCCAGAAAGACAGAGAGACAAAGAGACAGAAAGCGAGAAATCACGCCCCAGAGGGGATGGCCACGCCGCAATCCCTTCTCCTCCATTCTCCTCTCGGGATCTTGGGCACGCACGCACACGCGCCCGGCGTGGGTTTTAAGCCACCAGGTCCGGGATGCGAACCGCGGTCGACTACGTGGGAGTCCAGCGACATAGCCACTACGCTAACTGCTGGTTCCCCCCAGATCCTATTCCTTTTTTTTTTTTTTTGAGAGGTTTTTCACTATAGGGCGCGTGTGCTCGCCAGACAGACAGAGAGAGACAGAGAGACAGAAAGCGAGAAATCACGCCCCAGAGGGGATGGCCACGCCGCAATCCCTTCTCCTCCATTCTCCTCTCGGGATCTTGGGCACGCACGCACACGCGCCCGGCGTGGGTTTTAAGCCACCAGGTCCGGGATGCGAACCGCGGTCGACTACGTGGGAGTCCAGCGACATAGCCACTACGCTAACTGCTGGTTCCCCCCAGATCCTATTCTTGATGACTCACACAGGGTTTCAGAGGGAAACAGATACTTACAAACTTATAAGATGAAACATGTAGGATATAAATAGAAAATAATTTTCATGAAAAAACAATGCATGGATTTCAAGTATTTTTACACCAAAATAAACTCATACTTTTTTAATTGCCAGAGGGCATGTGTGCTCCCAGAGAGACAGAAAAACAGGGCAGAGGGTATGCTGGACTCCTCTGTAGTGGGCTGTGGTTGAAGCCCCAGACCTGGTGTCTTAAAATGCATGCCAGGACACCAGCAATTAGCATAATGGCTATGCTGCTGGACTCCCACGTAGTCGACCGCGGTTTGCGTCCCGGACCCGGTGGCTTAAAACTCATGCCGGGAGCGTGTGCGTGCGTGCCCAAGATCCTGAGAGGAGAATGGAGGAGAAGGGATTGCGGCGTGGTCATCCCCCCGGGGGGTGATTTCTCACTTTCTGTCTCTCTGTCTCTCTCTGTCTGGCGAGCGCACGCGCCCTACAGTGAAAATCTCTTAAAAAATAAAAAAAGAGAGGGAAAAAAATGCATGCTGGGCACATGTCCGTACGTGCCCCAGATTCTGAGAGGAGAATGGAGGAGAAAGGACTGCAGTGTGGCCATCCCCCCCCGGGGCGTGATTTCTCACTTTCCGTCTCTCTCTGGCGAGCACACATGCCCTATAGCAAAAATCTCTCTCTCTCTCTAAAAAAAATATTTACCAGATGGTTTGTATGTTCATCAGAGTAGGGTGGGCAGCAGGTGGCATGGTGGTTAAGGTGCTAGACTCCCACATGGCCAACTGTGGTTCAAGTCCTGGACCTGATGACTTGTTCTCTCACTCACCTCCCCCATCAAATTAAAAAACAAACAAACAAACAAAAAACCCTCAAAAAAACAAAACAAACAAAAAAAACCCAACAGCCTAAATTTAAAAAAAAGAGGGAGTGAGTCAGAGAGAAAGGACCCCTTCCCCCCCCACACCCGATCCCATGGGTTGATGCCCATGTCACAATTCCTTCTCCTCGTGGGAGTTTGGACATGCAAGTGCACATGCTCAGTGTGGTTTACAAGCTGCTGGGTCTGGGACTCAAACCACACAGGTGGCCATGTGGGATCCAGCCTCCTTCACCACTATGCCACCAGCTAGCTCAACACCAAAGTCTTAAACTGGGGTCTCAGGAACACAGGACCGGGAATTAGGATGCCT